GCACTTTCAGCCATACATGCACTTTCAGCCATACGTGCACTTTCAGCCATACGTGCACTTTCAGCCATACATGCACTTTCAGCCGTACATGCACTTTCAGCCGTACATGCACTTTCAGCCGTACATGCACTTTCAGCCGTACATGCACTTTCAGCCGTACATGCACTTTCAGCCGTGCATGCACTTTCAGCCGTGCATGCACTTTCAGCCGTGCATGCACTTTCAGCCCTGCATGCACTTTCAGCCCTACATGCACTTTCATCCATACATGCACTTTCATCCATACATGCACTTTCATCCATACATGCACTTTCAGCCATACATGCACTTTCAGCCATACATGCACTTTCAGCCATACATGCACTTTCAGCCATACATGCACTTTCAGCCATACATGCACTTTCAGCCATACATGCACTTTCAGCCATACATGCACTTTCAGCCGTACATGCACTTTCAGCCGTACATGCACTTTCAGCCGTACATGCACTTTCAGCCGTACATGCACTTTCAGCCGTACATGCACTTTCAGCCGTACATGCACTTTCAGCCGTACATGCACTTTCAGCCGTGCATGCACTTTCAGCCGTGCATGCACTTTCAGCCGTGCATGCACTTTCAGCCGTGCATGCACTTTCAGCCGTGCATGCACTTTCAGCCGTGCATGCACTTTCAGCCGTCCATGCACTTTCAGCCGTACATGCACTTTCAGCCGTACATGCACTTTCAGCCGTACATGCACTTTCAGCGGAACATGCACTTTCAGCCGTACATGCACTTTCAGCCGTACATGCACTTTCAGCCGTACATGCACTTTCAGCCGTACATGCACTTTCAGCCGTACATGCACTTTCAGCCGTACATGCACTTTCAGCCGTACATGCACTTTCAGCCGTGCATGCACTTTCAGCCGTGCATGCACTTTCAGCCGTGCATGCACTTTCAGCCGTGCATGCACTTTCAGCCGTGCATGCACTTTCAGCCGTGCATGCACTTTCAGCCGTACATGCACTTTCAGCCATACATGCACTTTCAGCCATACATGCACTTTCATCCATACATGCACTTTCAGCCATACATGCACTTTCAGCCATACATGCACTTTCAGCCATACATGCACTTTCAGCCATACATGCACTTTCAGCCATACATGCACTTTCAGCCATACGTGCACTTTCAGCCATACGTGCACTTTCAGTTATACATGCACTTTCAGCCATGCGTGCACTTTCAGCCATACGTGCACTTTCAGCCATACGTGCACTTTCAGCCATACGTGCACTTTCAGCCATACATGCACTTTCAGCCATACATGCACTTTCAGCCATACATGCACTTTCAGCCATACATGCACTTTCAGCCATACGTGCACTTTCAGCCATACCTGCACTTTCAGCCATACATGCACTTTCAAGCATACATGCACTTTCAGCTGTACATGCACTTTCATCCATACATGCACTTTCAGCCGTGCATGCACTCAGCCATACATGCACTTTCAGCCGTGCATGCACTTTCAGCCATACATGCACTTTCAGCCATACATGCACTTTCAGCCATACATGCACTTTCAGCCATACATGCACTTTCATCCATACATGCACTTTCAGCCATACATGCACTTTCAGCCATACATGCACTTTCAGCCATACATGCACTTTCAGCCATACGTGCACTTTCAGCCATACATGCACTTTCAAGCATACATGCACTTTCAGCCGTACATGCACTTTCAGCCATACGTGCACTTTCAGCCATACATGCACTTTCAGCCATACATGCACTTTCAGCCATACATGCACTTTCAGCCATACATGCACTTTCAGCCATACGTGCACTTTCTGCCATACGTGCACTTTCTGCCATACATGCACTTTCAGCCATGCGTGCACTTTCAGCCATACATGCACTTTCAGCCATACATGCACTTTCAGCCATACATGCACTTTCAGCCATACATGCACTTTCAGCCATACATGCACTTTCATCCATACATGCACTTTCATCCATACATGCACTTTCAGCCATACATGCACTTTCAGCCATACATGCACTTTCAGCCATACGTGCACTTTCAGCCATACATGCACTTTCAGCCATACATGCACATTCAGGCATACATGCAGTTTCAGCCGTACATGCACTTTCAGCCGTACATGCACTTTCAGCCGTACATGCACTTTCAGCCATACATGCACTTTCAGCCGTGCATGCACTTTCAGCCATACATGCACTTTCAGCCATACATGCACTTTCAGCCATACATGCACTTTCAGCCATACATGCACTTTCAGCCATACATGCACTTTCAGCCATACATGCACTTTCATCCATACATGCACTTTCAGCCATACATGCACTTTCAGCCATACATGCACTTTCAGCCATACATGCACTTTCAGCCATACGTGCACTTTCAGCCATACATGCACTTTCAAGCATACATGCACTTTCAGCCGTACATGCACTTTCAGCCGTACATGCACTTTCAGCCGTACATGCACTTTCAGCCGTACATGCACTTTCAGCCATACATGCACTTTCAGCCGTGCATGCACTTTCTGCCATACATGCACTTTCAGCCATATGTGCACTTTCTGCCATACATGCACTTTCAGCCATGCATGCACTTTCAGCCATACGTGCACTTTCAGCCATACATGCACTTTCAGCCATACATGCACTTTCAGCCATACATGCACTTTCAGCCGTACATGCACTTTCAGCCGTACATGCACTTTCAGCCGTACATGCACTTTCAGCCGTACATGCACTTTCAGCCGTACATGCACTTTCAGCCGTACATGCACTTTCAGCCGTACATGCACTTTCAGCCGTGCATGCACTTTCAGCCGTGCATGCACTTTCAGCCGTGCATGCACTTTCAGCCCTACATGCACTTTCATCCATACATGCACTTTCATCCATACATGCACTTTCATCCATACATGCACTTTCAGCCATACATGCACTTTCAGCCATACATGCACTTTCAACCATACATGCACTTTCAAGCATACATGCACTTTCAGCTGTACATGCACTTTCAGCCGTACATGCACTTTCAGCCGTACATGCACTTTCAGCCATACATGCACTTTCAGCCGTGCATGCACTTTCAGCCATACATGCACTTTCAGCCATACATGCACTTTCAGCCATACATGCACTTTCAGCCATACATGCACTTTCATCCATACATGCACTTTCATCCATACATGCACTTTCAGCCATACATGCACTTTCAGCCATACATGCACTTTCAGCCATACGTGCACTTTCAGCCATACATGCACTTTCAGCCATACATGCACATTCAGGCATACATGCAGTTTCAGCTGTACATGCACTTTCAGCCGTACATGCACTTTCAGCCGTACATGCACTTTCAGCCATACATGCACTTTCAGCCGTGCATGCACTCAGCCATACATGCACTTTCAGCCGTGCATGCACTTTCAGCCATACATGCACTTTCAGCCATACATGCACTTTCAGCCATACATGCACTTTCAGCCATACATGCACTTTCATCCATACATGCACTTTCAGCCATACATGCACTTTCAGCCATACATGCACTTTCAGCCATACATGCACTTTCAGCCATACGTGCACTTTCAGCCATACATGCACTTTCAAGCATACATGCACTTTCAGCCGTACATGCACTTTCAGCCGTACATGCACTTTCAGCCGTACATGCACTTTCAGCCATACATGCACTTTCAGCCGTGCATGCACTTTCTGCCATACATGCACTTTCAGCCATATGTGCACTTTCTGCCATACATGCACTTTCAGCCATGCATGCACTTTCAGCCATACGTGCACTTTCAGCCATACATGCACTTTCAGCCATACATGCACTTTCAGCCATACATGCACTTTCAGCCATACATGCACTTTCAGCCATACATGCACTTTCATCCATACATGCACTTTCAGCCATACATGCACTTTCAGCCATACATGCACTTTCAGCCATACATGCACTTTCAGCCATACGTGCACTTTCAGCCATACATGCACTTTCAGCCATACATGCACTTTCAAGCATACATGCACTTTCAGCTGTACATGCACTTTCAGCCGTACATGCACTTTCAGCCGTACATGCACTTTCAGCCATACATGCACTTTCAGCCGTGCATGCACTTTCAGCCATACATGCACTTTCAGCCATACATGCACTTTCAGCCATACATGCACTTTCAGCCATACATGCACTTTCATCCATACATGCACTTTCAGCCATACATGCACTTTCAGCCATACATGCACTTTCAGCCATACATGCACTTTCAGTCATACATGCACTTTCAGTCATACGTGCACTTTCAGCCGTACGTGCACTTTCAGCCATACATGCACTTTCAGCCATACATGCACTTTCAGCCATACATGCACTTTCAGCTACCACTCATGTGCTCTTCCCCCCCCAAGGCCTCTCCCTCACGCCTCTCATCCCATACTGCTCCCCCCATGCCTCTCACCCCATGCCCCTCTGTGCTGCAGACAACATCTGTCGGAAGGCCAAGTGTCCGAAGAACTCCACGTGCATCAGGACAAAGGACAGCCAGGAGGTGGGCTGCCAGTGCGCCCAGGGCTACCGTGACGTCTATGGCCAGTGCAAGCCTCAGTAGGCCTGCCCTCCCACCTGTGAGTCAATTTTGAGATAACTCATCTCAAAGAAAGACAGGGCTACCGTGACATCGTCGGCCAGTGCAAGCCCCAATAACTCCCTCTCCCCTCCCATCTGTAAGTCAATTCTGAGATGCCTCAAAGAAAGACAGGCAGGAGGTGGCATGCTGGTGCGCCCAGGGTTACCGTGACGTCTTCGGCCAGTGCAAGCCCCAGTAGCTTGTACCCGAATGTGCGTCAAGACGAGAGTCAGCAAGGAGGTGGGGTGTGCCAATGCGCTCAGGGTTACCGTGCCGTCTCTTTCCAATGCAAACCCCTATAGCCTCCTGTCCCCTCTGTAAGTCCTCTCTTTTCAAATGCATCCCCGCATTACCGTCCTCTGCTGCTTACCGTCATATCCCGTTCCACCCGCCTTTTCCCTTCTTCCCTTCCCTTCCTCTCCCGCTCCTGTCCCCCTTATCCCGCTCCTCTCCCCCTTATCCCGCTCCTTTCCCCCCCCTCTCCCGCTCCTTTCCCCCCCCTCTCCCGCTCCTTTCCCCCCCCTCTCCCGCTCCTTTCCCCCCCTCTCCCGCTCCTTTCCCCCCCCTCTCCCGCTCCTTTCCCCCCCTCTCCCGCTCCTTTCCCCCCCTCTCCCGCTCCTTTCCCCCCCCTCTCCCGCTCCTTTCCCCCCCCTCTCCCACTCCTTTCCCCCTTATCCCGCTCCTTTCCCGTTCCATCCGCCTTCTCCCTATTGCCCCGTCTCCCCTTCCCCTCTCCCACTTCTAATTGCCCTCTCCCCCTCCCCCCCCTCTCCGTCTCCTTTCCGCCGTCTCCCTCCCTCTCCTCCTGCTCCCCCCTCTTCATGGTCTGTTGCTATGTAGTTGTGTGCTGATCGTTGATTCTTGCCTTGTCTGCTGCAGAGCCTCTGGACTGCCAGTGGTGCTGGGATCCCCTGCAAAGCCCCTCCTAGAGTGCCCTGGAGCTGCTTGGGTGCCCTCCTATCCTCCTGAGACCTCTTTTGATGGCCACCTGCTGCTTCATAGCAGCACTGCCACTCCAGGCGCTCTTTAGGAGCTCTGCTATCTTTAGAAGCTCTAACATTCAGGGGCTCTCAGCATAGCCGTGGCGCTGGAGGGCTCTGCTGCATGGAACAGACAAGGAGTAGATATATGGGAAACAGGAGAGGAGAGAGAGGTTTTGCAAGGGACTCGTCTCTGTAGCAATACTCAGCATAGCCGTGGCGCTGGAGGGCTCTGCTGCATGGAACAGACAAGGAGTAGATATGTGGGAAACAGGAGAGGAGAGAGAGGTTTTGCAAGGGACTCGTCTCTGTAGCAATACTCAGCATAGCCGTGGCGCTGGAGGGCTCTGCTGCATGGAACAGACAAGGAGCAGATAAATGAGGGGAAACAGGAGAGGAGAGGAGAGAGAGGGGGGCTGGAGACAAGGCCTTTCCAGCATAGCAGATGGTGGGAGGAGATGGCAAGAGGGGAAGGGAAGAGAGGAGAGATGGACGGGGGAAGGGAGAGAAGGGGGAAGCATCGGGAGAGGGGAGGTGCAACAGACAAGGTGAGAATGAATGATTGGCACAGAGATGCATGGTGGGAGGAGATGGCAACAGGGGAAGGGAAGAGAGGAGAGAGGGACGGGGAAGGGAGAGAAGGGGGAAGCATCGGGAGAGGGGAGGTGCAACAGACAAGGTGAGAATGAATGATTGGCACAGAGATGCATGGTGGGAGGAGATGGCAACAGGGGAAGGGAGAGAAGGGGGAAGCATCGGGAGAGGGGAGGTGCAACAGACAAGGTGAGAATGAATGATTGGCACAGAGATGCATGGTGGGAGGAGATGGCAACAGGGGAAGGGAGAGAAGGGGGAAGCATCGGGAGAGGGGAGGTGCAACAGACAAGGTGAGAATGAATGATTGGCACAGAGATGCATGGTGGGAGGAGATGGCAACAGGGGAAGGGAAGAGAGGAGAGAGGGACGGGGAAGGGAGAGAAGGGGGAAGCATCGGGAGAGGGGAGGTGCAACAGACAAGGTGAGAATGAATGATTGGCACAGAGATGCATGGTGGGAGGAGATGGCAACAGGGGAAGGGAGAGAAGGGGGAAGCATCGGGAGAGGGGAGGTGCAACAGACAAGGTGAGAATGAATGATTGGCACAGAGATGCATGGTGGGAGGAGATGGCAACAGGGGAAGGGAGAGAAGGGGGAAGCATCGGGAGAGGGGAGGTGCAACAGACAAGGTGAGAATGAATGATTGGCACAGAGATGCATGGTGGGAGGAGATGGCAACAGGGGAAGGGAAGAGAGGAGAGAGGGACGGGGAAGGGAGAGAAGGGGGAAGCATCGGGAGAGGGGAGGTGCAACAGACAAGGTGAGAATGAATGATTGGCACAGAGATGCATGGTGGGAGGAGATGGCAACAGGGGAAGGGAAGAGAGGAGAGAGGGACGGGGAAGGGAGAGAAGGGGGAAGCATCGGGAGAGGGGAGGTGCAACAGACAAGGTGAGAATGAATGATTGGCACAGAGATGCATGGTGGGAGGAGATGGCAACAGGGGAAGGGAGAGAAGGGGGAAGCATCGGGAGAGGGGAGGTGCAACAGACAAGGTGAGAATGAATGATTGGCACAGAGATGCATGGTGGGAGGAGATGGCAACAGGGGAAGGGAAGAGAGGAGAGAGGGACGGGGAAAGGCGAGAAGGAGGGGACAGGGAAGGCTAGTGGGGAGGTTTCGAGAGGAGAGGGGAGGCTACTGGGGCTGGCATTTGCCGGAGACTGCACGGTATGCCATGAGGCACTGGCATGCCCCCCCCCTGCCTGTCGCTATTTGAGGCGTCTCGAACTTGGCGTACCGGCGGGAAGGGAAGGCTCCTGCTTCCGGCATTCGCCGGAGACTATTTTTGAGTCGACTCAAAAATAGGCTCATCACACACGGTTTTGAGTCGACTCAAAAATCTGCTTCTGGCATTCGCCGGAGACGGCACGGTAACCCTTGACGCCCTGGCAGGTTACCCCGTAATTATCGTTTGTCTTGATGCACTTGGAGTGTGGCGGGCACTTGGCTCGCTGGCAGATGTTGGCTGGATGATCGCACATGGAGGGAGAGGCATGGGGGGAGAGGCATGAGGGGAGAGGGATGGGTTGGAGGGAGAGGCATGGGGGGAGAGGGATGGGTTGAGGGCACTGACATGCCACCCCGTAATTATCGTTTCGTCCTGATGCACGTGGAGTGTGCCTGGCACTTGGCCCACTGGCAGATGTTGTCTGGATGATAGCGCATGGGGGGGAGGCATGGGGGGAGAGGGATGGGGGGAGAGGGATGGGGGGAGAGGGATGGGGGGAGAGGGATGGGGGGAGAGGGATGGGGGGAGAGGGATGGGGGGAGAGGGATGGGGGGAGAGGGATGGGGTGAGAGGGATGGGGGAAGAGGGATGGGGAAAGAGGGATGGGGTGAGAGGAGTGAGAGGGATGGGGCGAGAGGGATGGGGTGAGAGGGATGGGGTGAGAGGGATGGGGTGAGAGGGATGGGGTGAGAGGGATGGGGTGAGAGGGATGGGGTGAGAGGGATGGGGTGAGAGGGATGGGGTGAGAGGGATGGGGTGAGAGGCATGGGGTGAGAGGGATGGGGTGAGAGGGATGGGGTGAGAGGGATGGGGTGAGAGGGATGGGGTGAGAGGGATGGGGTGAGAGGGATGGGGTGAGAGGGATGGGGTGAGAGGGATGGGGTGAGAGGCATGGGGTGAGAGGCATGGGGTGAGAGGCATGGGGTGAGAGGCATGGGGTGAGAGGCATGGGGTGAGAGGCATGGGGTGAGAGGCATGGGGTGAGAGGCATGGGGTGAGAGGCATGGGGTGAGAGGCATGGGGTGAGAGGCATGGGGTGAGAGGCATAGGGTGAGAGGCATGGGGTGAGAGGCATGGGGTGAGAGGCATGGGGTGAGAGGCATGGGGTGAGAGGCATGGGGTGAGAGGCATGGGGTGAGAGGCATGGGGTGAGAGGCATGGGGTGAGAGGCATGGGGTGAGAGGCATGGGGTGAGAGGCATGGGGTGAGAGGCATGGGGTGAGAGGCATGGGGTGAGAGGCATGGGGTGAGAGGCATGGGGTGAGAGGCATGGGGTGAGAGGCATGGGGTGAGAGGCATGGGGTGAGAGGCATGGGGTGAGAGGCATGGGGTGAGAGGCATGGGGTGAGAGGCATGGGGTGAGAGGCATGGGGTGAGAGGCATGGGGTGAGAGGCATGGGGGTGAGAGGCATGGGGTGAGAGGCATGGGGTGAGAGGCATGGGGTGAGAGGCATGGGGTGAGAGGCATGGGGTGAGAGGCATGGGGTGAGAGGGATGGGGTGAGAGGGATGGGGTGAGAGGGATGGGGTGAGAGGGATGGGGTGAGAGGGATGGGGTGAGAGGGATGGGGTGAGAGGGATGGGGTGAGAGGGATGGGGTGAGAGGCATGGGGTGAGAGGCATGGGGTGAGAGGCATGGGGTGAGAGGCATGGGGTGAGAGGCATGGGGTGAGAGGCATGGGGTGAGAGGCATGGGGTGAGAGGCAACAGCAGGGCAAGCATGGCAACAGCAGGGCAAGCATGGCAACAGCAGGGCAAGCATGGCAACAGCAGGGCAAGCATGGCAACAGCAGGGCAAGCATGGCAACAGCAGGGCAAGCATGGCAACAGCAGGGCAAGCATGGCAACAGCAGGGCAAGCATGGCAACAGCAGGGCAAGCATGGCAACAGCAGGGCAAGCATGGCAACAGCAGGGCAAGCATGGCAACAGCAGGGCAAGCATGGCAACAGGCATGGCAACAGCAGGGCAAGCATGGCAACAGCAGGGCAAGCATGGCAACAGCAGGGCAAGCATGGCAACAGCAGGGCAAGCATGGCAACAGCAGGGCAAGCATGGCAACAGCAGGGCAAGCATGGCAGCATCAGGGCATGCATGGCAACAGCAGGGCAAGCATGGCAACAGCAGGGCAAGCATGGCAACAGCAGGGCAAGCATGGCAGCATCAGGGCATGCATGGCAATAGTTGGAAATAGCAGCAGAAAACGCCAACGCATGGCAGCAGAAGGGCACGCAGAGATAACGCAGCTTTTGAGGTGCCTCAAAAGACGACTTTTTTTTTAGGCGCCTCAAAAGTGCATGGCAGCAGCACGGCACGCACTGATAACGCAGCGGAAGGACTTGAGAGGTGTGGTCAGCTTGATGGTTCTGCTCACATGGGGAGGGGAGGTTGTGGGGAGGGGGGAGAGGGGGGGAGGGGGAGGGGAGACGGGTTCAGGGCGTGTGATATCGGCGCATCGGGCTTTTGAGGCGCCTCAAAAACAGATAACGCAGCGGAAGGACTTGAGAGGTGTGGTCAGCTTGAGAGATCTGCTCACATGGGGAGGTTGTGGGGAGGGGGGGAGGGGGAGGGGAGACGGAGATGGGAGAAGGGTTTAGGGCGACGGCAGGGCCGCATGGGGGAGAGTTCCGGGCGTGGGGAGGGGCGTATGTGGTGAGGGTTTGATGGGTCTGCTCACATGTGCACAGGGGGAGGGGCGCCGTTGGGAGTGGTGGTTTGGGGGGGGGGGTGGGGGGGGGGTCGGGGTGGGGGGGGGGGGGGGGGGGGGAGCGCGCTTTGCTACTCGCCAGTAACAAACGCGTGAACTTTGCGAGTTCCTTCCCACTCCCACCAGCTGTAACGAACAGCTGAATGCTCACCTCATCTCATGCACGCCTGCGACAGCTCAGGCGATGCAACGAACAGACGGTGTAACGAACAGGCGGTGTGACGAACAGGCGGTGTAACGAACAGGCGGTGTAACGAACAGGCGGTGTAACGAACAGGCGGTGTAACGAACAGGCGGTGTAACGAACAGGCGATGTAAAGAACAGGCGGTGTAACGAACAGGCGGTGTAACGAACAGGCGGTGTAACGAACAGGCGATGTAAAGAACAGGCGATGTAACGAACAGGCGATGTAACGAACAGGCGATGTAACGAACAGGCGATGTAACGAACAGGCGATGTAACGAACAGGCGATGTAACGAACAGGCGGGTGAAATGCTCACTCACTGCACGTTAAGCCAGAGCAATCCGCCGACGACTCATCTAATGTAACGAACAGTAACGAACCGTAACGAACAGCAACAAACGGGCGAAATAGACGAGATGCTCACTGCACGTTTCCAACGGTTGGGGGTGGGGCAGTGAGTCTCCCAGCCGTTACGCCAGAGCAATCCGCCGACGACTCATCTAATGTAACGAACAGTAACAAACGGGCGAAATAGGCGAAATGCTCACTGCACGTTTCCAACGGCTGGGGGTGGGGCAGTGAGTCTCCCAGCCGTTACGCCAGAGCAATCCGCCGACGCGAAAGCCTGCAGCGCGACGCACGGAACATGATAACCCGTAGCGAGGCCTCCAGTCACGTCCCAAAGCAATAGCGCCTGCACATTCGTCCCCCAGACGCTCGGCGCGCCGCAGAGGCCTGAGTGGAAGTCGACAAGGCTGGGCTTTGCGAGCGACCCGAGGATCATGAGTGTCTCCACGACGAGCGACGCTTTCACCACCTCGCTCGCGGCGGTTACCACCTCGCTCGCGCTCGCGCCCGCGCTCGCCACCGCCGTGCCGCTCGCGGCGGCGGCGCCCACCGCCACGGCGGCGGCGGGGGCGGGAAAGCGCGCCGTGCTCACCACCTCGATCGCGCTCGCGCTCACCACTGGCTTGCCGGCGGAGGCAGGTGCTCCCAGCGACGCTCCGGCGTTACTCGCTGCCGCAAGGATGGGTGACATGATGGGGAAAGGGGGAACACAGAGCCGGCGGAGGAAGGCAACAGTCAGAAAGGAAAGCACGCCTCTGCTGTGCCGTCGGCGGCGGCAGGTGCTCCCAGCGACGCTCCGGCGTTACTCGCTGCCGCAAAGGATGTGACATGATGGGGAAAGGGGGAAGGGAGAGCAGCAGCTTGGCACGGAGGCCGTCGCACGGGGAAGGGCAAAAGTCAGCCACGGGAGGGAATTGCAATTGAAATCATGCCGCGACCCGGCCTTATGGAAGAAGATTCTGTGAGCCTTTCACGGGCATGCCGCATGGCGCATTCACGGTCTTCGCCGCGACGAAGGGAGGCCGTGCGGCGTACCGATGAGAAGCGCGACAACGAGCAGCGCGGCGGCCGCTGCGGCCTTGGATTGTTCCGCGATCATCATTATCATCATCGCGGGTGCTCGTGGCGAGCGAAGGTATGAGTAGCGCGGACGGGTGCCGCGTCAGGGTCGCTTCGGATGCGATCGAAGCACAAAGCGGCGATTCCGCAACGGGGCGCCGCGATCGCGATGATCTCGAGATGGACGGGAGAGTTGGAGCCAGAAGCGACGGTCTGATGTTACGGTAACCCAGAGGCAGCGAGGCGGCGTCGGAGCCCTCAATACTCCGAGAAGCGCCGGTAAGTTCGTCTCAATTACATCACCAAAATTGCTCGGTCCCCAATCTGTCCCAAAACCATTCTGTCTCACATCTGTCGAGAATCTGTCCCGAAACCGTCCTGCAAGACACTTTCGAGACATTTCCGCCTAGAGGAGGTTTTGTGCCCCATAACAACCTGTCCCGAACGTGACTTGTGCTGTAATCTGTCTTGCAACTACATTGCCTGCCTAGAAAAACAATACATCATGTCAGCCGAAAAGATAATATTTAAAGCTCGCGTCTCATATTTCTACTATCCAACCAAGTGTTAAACGGTTGGAATTTGGTAACAGCAAAGTTTGTCGCAAAGCACACCAAAGCAAGGGGTGGTTTGGGAAAGTTGGCTGTCGCACACTTCCCGTGCACACCAAGCGTTTACAACTTCCAAAAATATGAGACTCTGAAACTCAACATTGACAGAAGGGGGGACCGAACCTGTACCCCTTGGCTCGTTTTCCACCCAAACCAACCCACCCTGGTTTGTTTTGGCCTCGACTGTTTTGGTAGTTCGCTGTGATTTTTTCACCCACTCGTCAAATATTTCGTTTTCGTTACCCAATCACAGTCGGGCAAACCCAACCAAGTGTTAAACGGTTGGAAATATGAGACGCGAGCTTTAAGTCGACATGTCCGGCACCTCAACGATTCATTCCGCTCTACAAAGCACACAAATACTCAGCATGCAATCTCAACCACCTACACAGATTTCGGGTTAGCGTTCAGTTCCGTCCATTGGGCTTAGCACAAGGGTTTAGCCCCCTTGGATGGTGGGTCTCACAAGTTACAGCTCTAAACCCTAAAACAAAAACCGGTTGACAAGTGATATATCCGCCTGTGTGAAGCTCGGAACGATGTGTGCTTGACCAAGAATGCTGTCCAGCTCCGTGTAGTACTTGACTAGTGCACGTCGGACGACTTGCTGACTAGCATCAGTGAAGTGAAAGAGCATGAGGCATCTCCCATACCACACCCCACCCTGCCCTTCTATCTGCACATGGCTGAACTTTTGCTCTGCCGGCGACGCCTTTATAACATGACCCAAAACTCCTCGTTCCATCCGGTCGTGCGGGGGGATGGCCAGCGCAGTGTGAACCTGCACATAATCGCACATGCACAAGGGTAAGACTCACGCCTGATTTCGTGTGCCCAAGTATTTCTGCATACCAAATCAATGTTGCAACGGGGGCGACTAGCGGGGTGTCTTTAGGAACCAACTAATGAAATGACTCACCTGCACCGTATCTGCATCAATGCCCACTGCTCTCATCACCTCCACCGCTCTTGCCATGACATCGGGCCCGAGTGCATCACGGAACTCCGACCACACAGGATCCATGTCGACGTCGACCTCCATGCGACGGCTTCGTTTGGTGAGGACACGGATGTTGTGCTCCACCGCCTGGTTCAGGTTACGGTTTAAGCAAACATGGCATGAAAATACTCTGTCCCACTCAGCAGGGTTGATACAAACTAAAGGGGCCGGCATTTCAGGCCAGAACAAGGCCAACGAGCACGATATGGCTTCACAAACAGTTTCAAGAAGAGACTTACCAGGCGCATTGCGGTCTTGTACACCCGGGTGCCACCCTCGGCACGCACCAGCCCTCTAATGGCTGCCATCCGCGAGTGCTTCACCGTAATGTCGCGCGTTACGTCTCTCCAGTTTGTGTTCTTAGCGTGACATTTCAAAGAGATCTTATGCTTGGCCTCATACATGTTGGTAGAGTACTCAATGGGCATGCCTCGCATCACAATGGCGGCGGGGAGGTGAGACAGCTGGTGTACCTTCACGATGAGGAACCCTGACCTCTGATTCGGGAACACGGCAACGAGCTTAGCGATGAGCCTGGCCCAGACACAAGCACATGGCGTCATGACATGCAATACCCCCAAGGGTTGGAAAGAATCGCAAGCGGGTGTGGCTTAGTAGTGAGCAGAACAGAGAAACAAACTGCGAGCGTACTGTGCCATTGAAAACTGCCATGTTATAAAAGACACTCAAACGAGTCAGCCAACATCAGCATCCAAGGTTATGTGGTCTCACCTCTCTGTCATGGTGACCATGGCCGCAAGAGACTGATCAGTGTGGTACTCCACACGGAAGTAAGCCTTGTACCATTCACTGAACATAACGGTCGCCTCTCCAATGTCCTCGTACCCGGGGAGGTGCGTGATGAGGGGAACAATCTGCATCATTGCCCGGTGTTCCCATGCCGCGTACTGTGCCACAGTACGGAAGTAGTACGAGGGGTCTGGAGCCCTCAGGAGCGAGGCCGGGGTGTCCACCAGAACAGCCCGGCAACGCCTGCATATATCACCCGCCGGGTGGCGGATGGCATAACGGCACGATTAGCACTACGGCCGTATCTATGCAGCATTGTATGGCGCAGTGTGACAGGGGATTTCTGAAAGACGGAAAACGCATATGCTCCACCAACCACACACACCTCAAAAGCTCCGCGCGTAAAGTGGGTGTAAGTCTCCCCAAGATGCACTTCATTGTGTGCACCCAGAGACCCTCATCCACCACATGTAAGATACAAATACCAATGGTCTCGTACAGATTACCCCATGGCGTATCGACATACGCCCAGTCCCATAGAACACACTGCACACAAGTTCGGCACGAGCTTACCCACACTCAACGGAGGGAATACACAACACCAATATACGCGAAAAATCCACCATGCAGAACCTCCTTCAAATGTCCACTTACAGCAGCGTAGTGGGTCGAGAATGCCGTCTTTACAAGTTCACGATACTCGGGAGTGCTCTGCTGCATCAGCTCAAAAACCTCCCGCTGCCCTTCTACCGTCCGTGGTTGGAAGGTCTCGGAAACCTTGTTCAAATCCCACCATCCCACTGTACACATTGAGCACGGCTGCAGTGCAGTCGCAGCCATCGTGCATGTGACTATAGACGACTCGGGGTGGTCACACACGTAGTCCGCCAGCAACGGATGAACTGTCATCTCCACGCCCGCTGCGTCTTGCACTTTGATCGCCTCTCCATCCATAGCTCCCTGTAAATGTGACGAGAGACCACTTAGTACAAACGGTGCGAATGGTTTGGCAGGACATTGACAGGACATGGCGGTAATGCTCACCGTGGCTTCCTTAAACCATTTGCAACCCGCCGCATTGCGATATACCGTCACCCCGTCGACCTTCTCTTCCCTCCATTCAGTGGCAAACCCATCCACTCCTGACATCGTCTCCCATAATGCCACAAATACCTCCACGATCGGGCGGTGACGCAACGTCAAGACACCGAGATCTCCTTCAAGTACTATTTCGACCTCCTCCCAGTGCTCATGCGCTTCCAAAACCTCCTCCTCCCATTTTTCCAGATCCCTATAAGTCTCCCACGTTTCGAGATCGTCGTCGGACGGGTTACGCGCCTTAAACAGCTGTATAATGTCTGTAATAGCCTCATTCGGGAGGTTGTACTTGCGAGCGATGTGCGCAATCTCTGCACGTATGTCAACCTCTATGTCGCGTTCCTCCGACCGTTCTGAGCTAGCCGCGCTCGACACGCTGTCCGTCTCATGTGCCTCCTGAACATCCTCACTCTCCTCGCCACGCTCACTGTACTCGTCCCCCACCTCATCCTCGCCCTCTGAATCCATGACCCCATGGGACTGTTCCCCATATACGTACTCGTATACCGTCCGTGGATACTCATGATAACGTCCTAGGGGGATGCCAAGTGTAGCTAGCCTTTCCTGTTCTGCAAGGCACTTTTTCGATGTCCCATGATGCGACCTTAAAATCTGAAAGCTGCCGAATGTATCACCACAGAATTCGCATAGTTCTACTGGCATGCGCGTCTACAACTTCTAACGTATATCGCGACTAAGCGGTCCGGCAGTTAGGGTTTGCGACTGAGATCCAGCTACGAGCACAACGGCGATTTCCACGTCTCACTGACGCACAGCCAGGACCATATCCCGCTCTGTTACGGCACTGTACCTTTTATGCCTTGGGTACAGCGCTGGATGTGATATGACTCATTTAGGAGATAGAATAACTTATATTTGGAGCATTATTTCTGACGACGGGGGTCTGTTTACCCTACTTTGTAATATAAACTACATTGACCAAGCACTAATCCCCTAAACATAACAACAGCAACACAGCCAAAATGCATGGGGTCACGCAGCCTAGGGCCTTCTTCAAATGCATCAGTCAATCGCATGTGATTGCAACTGAAACTACTAGTGACTGTTCATGGCTGCACCATAACAAATAGGGTTGTATCAACCAGCGCCAGAGTCCTTCCTACTACGTTTGACCTCCTCGGCTGGTAAGAGCCGCTCCAACAAACGCATGAAGAGCCGAGCATCTTCATAAGTAGTAGGCCGGGACCCTCCTGCACATGGGTGCCCTTGGGGATTGGTTAAGACCAAGGAATACATGGATATTGAATAATACGCAATGGTAAAGTTTACCCGCAACTAGGCCGTGGAAAACCGGCCTGCTCCTGGATGATGTGTGGCCCCCAGGGCTACGAGAAGTGTGACGTGAGCCTACACAACAAGAAACAGAGAAAGAAAGACACAATGTTAAACCTGAGCGTGCGTATACGCGATCATGACAATCATCCGTCACTGTCCTTTTCATACCCCGTTGTGCGTCATTCGATGCAGAGCGGGTGGCCTGGGTTGCACCGCTGGGTACAGGTTTGGCTCGAGCCGGGGAGGCATTACTCGATAATACATAACCGTCAGGAACATCCCTAGAGTGACCCACCCCCCCCCTCAAGGCAGAGTTGTTTTCATGTGAAGGCTTTGCAACACCTGCGCCAATGGCATGTTCCCCGCTCAGCTTCAAAGTCGAGGCTGGCGTGGGAACGGCTTCCACCTTAACATGTGTTGTAAAGTTAGGTCGCTCTATGGCGGCGTCGGCGGAAGAGACAGAACCTCCCTTGCCTGTCAACCCCGGTTCATATCGCAATGCCGCGTCTTTCCCTCCATTTGCTTTCCCGTCTACCAGCGCCACCCCCGGCTTTCCCTCCTCTGTCATAGCGTCTTCTGCCAGTCCTTCCGCATTCCCGTCCTCTGTTTCTGCGTCTTCCTGCGCCACAAATGGCTTTCCCTCCTCTGTCTCTGCGTCTTCTGGCGCCACCTCCGCATTTCCGTCCTCGGTATCTGCGTCTTCTGGCGCCACCTCCACAATTCCGTGCTCGGTCTCTGCGTCTTGTTTGCCGACCTCCGCATTTCCGTTCTCGGTCTCTGCCTCACGTTTAGCGACCTCCGCATTTCCGTCTTCGGTCTCTGCGTCTTCTGGCGCCACACCCGCATTTCTGTTAACGGTCTCTGCGTCTTCCCACGCCCCCTCCTCATTACCATCCTCTGTCTCTGCGTCTTCCCACGCCCCCTCCTCATTACCATCCTCTGTCTCTGCGTCCTCTGGCGCCACATCGGCCGTGTCATCATTTGTCTCCGCGTCTCCTCTATCCACACCCGCTCTTCCAAACTCGACATCGGCGTCCTTCGTCGCGACCTCCGGTATGGCGTCCTGCGTCTCCTCGTCATCAGTCGCCTCTGAATCCTTTTGCGCCTCTGTCTCTGCATCCAGGAACCCCCAGTCTCCTGCCTCCGTTTCGGCGTCCTTAGCCTCAGTCGGTCCGTACGGTGCAAGTCCCAAGTTACGACATGGCGCTTCAACATCTCCGTCAGACATTCCCTCACCTAAGCCAGGGCCTGACCCCGGCCTGCCCAAGTCACGAGGTGCGTGAGGGTTGAACTCGGGCAGCATCCACGCACCGGAGACCCTCATAGACCAGGAGCCGTATTGTTCCTCTGTGTCGACTAATGGCTCCTCCCCTAGTAGTTGCTGTCGTAGCGACGCTCGCCTGTCGCGCAAGTTCTTCCAAGAAGCCATCTCACGGCGCAACCAAGTTAGGTGAGAGCACGACTGGCAAAAACGAAACCCCAGAGGTACAAGTTTAGGCTGGTTGATGTCCCCTGAGGTCCAATCTCGTTCGCGCTATAGGCAACTTCTAGTAGTTTCGATTAACGAATTTCATATGTGTGCGTCACTAAGCATGATAATCTCGTGTCTGGTTATTGTACTAGCTGATGTGTAATACTCCCATCGCGCACAAGGACTGATTACACTGGGTTACATGATCCCCAACTTGGCAGCAATGCTAGTAGCTGATGCAGGTTTCTTGATATTTCGTAACTGTTTGAAAACCAATTAGTACCCTGCACAAACATCTAGTCCTCTAGCAAGCAGGACCGTGTTCACAATATTACAAGCAACATTACTTGTTGCTATAGGCCACACTCCATGAAATGAAGTCCTTAAGATACTCAGCACGCCATTGGACGCTTGATCCATGTGCCACAATGGCCTTCACGTCTTGAAATCTGGTTTCAACGAGCGCCTGCATAAACTTCATAATGTATATGCCACAGTCGTCAGAGTTTTGCTGACGTGGCACCTGCATGTTCAGCGTTCAGCATGCCAACAGTGTGCGTCACTGTGTTGCTATAAGTGGGAGAGCACAAGAGCCGTGCACATTTACCTCAATTGGCGCGTAGCGTATCCCGCTCTCCCACACCTCAGCCTCTAACTCCGTAACGATCGGATTCAGGATCATCAGTTGTTCCCGCAGGAAGCTGATAGATGCAACACAGTACAATGGTCCGTCTGTTACGAGGTAACATCATTCTGCCCGCACTGACACGTCCCGTACTAGCAGTACTACATACCTTTTGATGGGTGCGTCGAATAACAAGTGCTGGGAGAGAGAGTCTGCGTGGAGAATCCGTGGCGGTAGGGGGATGATATCCTCGTCCACAGGCGGGTTGTTGTCCAGCAAGACAAGGCTCCAATGATTGCTGGAACGGATGTGATAGGATGTAATGCCAGTCCTAAGCAAACACTCGGGCGATTGTAAGAATGAGCCATCATTACAGGTTGCTCAGTACGATTGCAATGGATCTTACTCTAGGTTTATTGGGATGAATACCCATTTGAAAGTCAGGACGTTCTCCCCGAATGTATAGTTGGTCCATGGAGCCGATCGTGAGGGTCGTTGCATTATGTCGTACAGATATGTGCTGCAGTACAGCCATTCACGACGGGATAAGTCGTGTTCGAAATGTAAAACTCTGCAGACAGGTGCAGGAAAGGTGATGAATCAGAGATTACAAGCACTTAGAATGGAAGCATTAGCATCTTCATTCGAAGATGAACTTTGCACGAATAGTACTCACATGCCCCACCACTCGATGATGTCACCGCTGACCCACTTGCCTGGCTGCAGGAAATCTGCCTCGCGAGGGGAGATCGTCAAATAGCTGCCTCCTAAGGGATATGGCATTACATACTGCTCAAATGGTTTAGCGACCTTCTTGTTACGCTTCCTAGCCATCGGGTAAATCAATGGAGGCTTTCTGGGGAGGTACTGGTTCGGTGGCCGGGTAAGTGACGGCGTAACCCTAAGTCTATGCTAAGTCATTTTGTTTATCGGATGCCGAGCAGCGAAACCCTTGGGATGTGTAGCGGCGGGAGACAGGTTAGGGACAGTTTGGGGACATGGACTGAATGTTGTCTCTCGATTACGTTGGGTTACCGTATTTTGGAATGTGCAATTGCTCAGTGGTCCCACGGTGTAGGAAACGGTTTGCTATGCTCCAGAGGGTCAGTGAGCTGGATGTTAGCGGTTGGTGTGGGTAACATAGCCATAGAGGCCTGCTGTGGATGTGGTTCGGGGCCATCGAGAAACGACAGGCTGTCACAGGGACATACAGAAATTTACACAGGTGGTTTCGGTTTGCTCGAAGCAGTGACGAGGAACACTCTGTAGATCCACGTGGCACAGTTCTGCTGGTGAGATGATCGACTTGCACGAGGTGATGTGGCGAAACCACGGCGCATTTTGCACCTGTAATTTGGGTGAAGGACGAGACTGCATGGAGCGCCCATGAAACTGCCCTGTGTGAATATCCACGGCTGAGAGTGGCCCCCGGGGAGTGACATCAACGAGGAATAATCTCCTACGGGGTCGATCCGTGAGCTCCTCTTCTATTTGACGATTACAAGCACCGTCACGTTTTCTTATCCCTCATGGGAATGCTACGCTCACACCAGGGCGAACCTTACTAACTTAGCGTGGCATAGGCGCTATATTTTGTTAGGTAAGAGTGAAACAGCCGCTCACCATGTGTGCCGCTGTCGCTCGTCCGGTGCGTGTTAGACGTCCTCCCCAGAGGCTTGATGATTTCGAAGGCATAAAAAGTGGAGGTAAGTCTAAGCCGTCGACTGCACAATGGGCGGCGGATGTGGAGGCGACTAGGACGTTCTTGAGACAACACCGAGTGTCCAACCCTACGCCCAAGGGTTATTTGGTAGCGGAGCAAGCCCCGGACATCGCTGGACCCGCAGACCCTCCCATTAAGCCGTACGGCTTCAGCGTCGAGGAGAGGCTTGATTTGCATGCGCAGCACCGGCCTGGCCGATGCAAGCCGGTGAAAGTAGTGGAGGCTGACGACGGCGGAAAGCAGGAGAAGCACGGTGCCACTGGTGAGCATTGCTTGGACTAGGCATACTGTTTTGGGGCCTCAATTCACAATTATTGCATTTAATAGAGTTGGGTTTACCATTCCGTGGCTCATTGTTGATATAGAGATCCACCATGCAGTGAGTGACCCAATACCCGTGGCGAGCGGCGAAACTGATCATGGCGGGCCAAGAAGCTGCGAGGGTGGGCTTGAGGCTTTTGTGAACTACAACGCAATCCTCCATACGGTGCCGTTTTCTGACTGCACCGAGGCGGAGTCAGAGGAGGGAACGAACGAATCACAAGCTACGTCAAGCAGTGGCGATAACAGTGCGGACGAAGAATGGGAGGCATCTGGCAGCGAGGCAGGAACTGACTCTGATGTACCGCGTGTGCCCACTTCCAACGCCAACCCACCAGGCACCCCTGGCACTGTTGTTAAGCCAGTTGCACCTGTAAAGCGCGGACGGCAAGCAAAGAAGCCCCCCAGGGAAAAGAAGGCCCGAGAACACAAGCCAGTCGTACGACAAGTCCGTGGGAGGGCGTCTAGCAAAGAGAACATGTGGCGGCAGGGAGAGAGCTGTCAGAACATTATATAGCTTATGCTGTTGTGTAGGCTATAGTGGGGTATCCCATAGGGGGTACAACCCAATTAGGGTTTCCTATTTGTACTCACTTCATTTCATAGTTCATTCATTCTCGTTCTCATTCTCACATGGAATCAGAGCAGGTCCCCTCCTAGGGACTGTTCCTTGGGCCCACCGAAGCGCGCCTCGAGTCGCGCCTGCCTTTTTTTTTAGCGGCCCGTCGAGTCGCACCTAGCGGCCCGTCGCGCCGCCCTTACGGTCGCGTCGAGCCGCCCTAGCGGCTGCGGCGCGCCGCCCTTTTCCCGGCCCGTCGCCGCCCTTACCCGCGGCTTTGCGCCGCTCTCACCGGCGGCTTCGCGCCGCCCCTACCTGCGGCTTCGCGCCGCCCAGGCCCGTCGCCGCCCTTCCCGTGGCTTCGCGCCGCCCCGGCCCGTCGCCGCCCTTACCTGCGGCTTCGCGCCGCCTACGGCCCGTCGCCGCCCTTTTCTGCGGCCCCGCCGCCTCTCTCGTTGCGGCCCCGCCGCCCGTCTTCGCGGCCCCGCCGCCATCTCTCGCTGCGGCCCCGCCGCCACTCACTGCGGCCCCGCCGCCCGTCTTCGCGGCCCCGCCGCCCTGCTCACGCGGCCCCGCCGCCCTGCTCACGCGGCCCCGCCGCCCACTGCTAAGCGGCCCCGCCGCCCCACTACAGCGGCCCCGCCGCCCTCACGTCGCGGCCCGCCCGCCACCCTACCTGCGGCCCGCCCGCCGCCCTACCTGCGGCCCGCCCGCCGCCCTACCTGCGGCCCGCCCGCCGCCCTACCTGCGGCCCTACCGCCGCCCTACCTACGGGAGCCGCCTAGCAGCAGAACCGCCGGGAGCCGAGCCGCCCTGCCGCCGAGCCGCCCGGGAGCCGAGCCGCCCTGCCGCCGAGCCGCCCGGGAGCCGAGCCGCCCTGCCGCCGAGCCGCCCGGAAGCCGAGCCGCACTGCCGCCGAGCCGCCCAACAGCCGAGCCGCCCAGCAGCCGAGCCGCCCTGCCGCCGAGCCGCTGAGCAGCCGAGCCGCCCTACTGCCGACCCGCCCGACCTGCCCTGTCCGGTGAGCACAGCCCCACTGTCACTGCGTGCCCTTCCCCTACTGCTTGCACTGCTCGTCTGTCGTCGTCATGGCTACCCCTAGTGTCCTCGCTTTTGATGCTGAGGGTCGAGCCATTGACTTTGAGGTCTGGGTCGACGACCTGCAGCTGTTCTTACAGTGCGATAGGGCGGACGGTCTTTCCCTCTTTGACCTCACCTCTGGCGCCTCTCCTGCCCCTGCTACTGATGCTGACCCCACTGTTCGCTCTCAGTGGGCCACCCGCGATGCTGCTGCACGTCTTGCTGTGCGTCGCCACCTGCCTACCACTGAGCGCGCGCACTTTAGTCAGTACAAGAGTGCTCAGACCTTGTACGACGCTGTAGTTGCGCGCTACTCTTCCCCTGCCACTGCTGCCCTGAGCCGCCTCATGCTACCGTACCTCTTTCCTGACCTTACTGCCTTTCCCACTGTCGCTGACCTCATTACGCACCTCCGCACTAGTGACACTCGCTACCGCGCCGCCCTTCCTGCTGAGTTCTGCGCCAAGAACCCCCCCCCCATGTACATCACTCTCTATTACATAGTCACACGCCTCCCTGACTCCCTTCGCGTAGTCAGGGACCAC